CTGTATGTGTGCTGCTGTTCTCCCCGATTCTGTATGTGTGCTGCTGTTCTCCCCGATTCTGTATGTGTGCTGCTGTTCTCCCCGATTCTGTATGTGTGCTGCTGTTCTCCCCGATACCGTGTGTGTGCGCTGCTGTTCTCCCCGATACCGTGTATGTGCGCTGCTGTTCTCCCTGATTCTGTATGTGTGCTGCTGTTCTCCCTGATTCTGTATGTGTGCTGCTGTTCTCCCCAATACCGTGTGTGTGCGCTGCTGTTCTCCCTGATTCTGTATGTGTGCTGCTGTTCTCCCTGATGGTGTGTGTGTGTGTGTGTGTGTGTGTGTGTGTTTCAGGGGTTGGAGGTCCCCTTGGTAGCCGTCCTCCAGTGGTCCACACCTAAACTTCCATTCACCAACTGCATCTATACACATTACAGGTCAGTCGTGTTTGGCTTTGTCTCAGAGTACTGCTTTTAAAAATTACTACTGTAGAAACACCTCTGTTCTAAAGGACTCCCTAGGTCACATAACCCTCACCCTAAAGGACTCCCTAGGTCAGATAACCCTCACCCTAAAGGACTCCCTAGGTCAGATAACCCTCACCCTAAAGGACTCCCTAGGTCAGATAACCCTCACCCTAATGCTTATTTTCGGTCCCATTCAGGCTGCCCAGTGTAAGGCTGGACCGGCCACGCTTCGTCATGACCGCCAGCTGCCCCAGTGCGGTGGGGGTGCGGGAGCGCTTCCGTGTCCGATACACGCTGCTCAACAACCTGCAGGACTTCCTGGCCGTGCGTCTGGTGTGGACACCTGAGGGTGAGGGTGGGAGGCGGCCAGCCGAGCAGAGGCCGCACTCTGTTGACTCAGACCCATTGCTGGCATAGGTGTATAATTAAGCACACAGTCATGCAATCTGCTGCAATAAACAGTAGCAGCAGAGTGGTTGTAAAGGGGAGGTTAGTGACTTTCCACCTAGGACTATCGTAAGTCGTTCTCCACATTTCTGCTATAGCTATAGCTGCCCTGGCTAACCGCATCTGCAAGTGACTGTGATGGTCAGAGTGTGTGGTAGGACACAAAAGCTCACAGAAAGTCACCTCAACATCAATACCCAAGCTGAGTGGCAGCACATCCCACCAGCTGTGTTCCAACATGTAATGGAAAACCTTTCTAGAGGAGCAGAGGTTGTTATAGCAACAATGGGCAGACCAACTTGATGCTGGACAAGCTGGTGTTCATTTACTTCTGGCCATATAGCGTATAGTGATACAGAACTGGAATCTTCAATCTGATACCTCCTTGTATTGCCCCCCCCGGCTCCAGGTCGCGGTCAATGTGAGGACCAGTCGGTCAGTGCGGTGGTGTGTCATTCTCCACTCAGCAACCTGGGCCACTGCCAGAAAGGCAGCACCTTGTCCTTCACCGTGGCCTTCCAGATCCTGAGGGCCGGGCTCTTCGAGGTACTCTGAGCCCGTGTCCACGCACACACACCTGCCGTGCGTGTGAAGCCGAGCAGGATGCTAGTGGCCTCGTCACGGCTCCCAGTACCTTACGCAACCCATCTCTCTGGAATTGTTAAATGGTTTATTCGCATGCCAGGTGGTGGAACCGGTTAGCCAAGCAAGGGTGGCCAAGATTTGGTAATGAGAAGACGCTTAATTATGTGCTTTAGCTCCACGTGTCTGTGCCTGACCGACACAGATTTAAGGACCTCCTTACTCTGCATTGTCAGCTTGTTCCTTTAGGCCCAAGGCTTCTTCACCTTTATACCCGGAATTACTAACTGTGGCTGTTTGTCTTTCTGATGTATTCTTGTGAATTTAATGTCTCTTTTTTTTCTCTTGCATTCTCCCACTCACACTTTTCACACTCTCTGCCTCCTTCTCTCTCACGATCTTTGTTTTTCTTTCACTTGTTCATGCTCACCCTCTCTCCTTTTCTCTTCCCCCTCACTCTCTCTTCATTGTCTTCTCCTGTCTTCCTCCTCTCCTTTCCCCTCTCTCTTCTCCTCTCTTTCCCCTCTCACTGCCTCTTCTTTTTCGTCCCCCACTCCCTCCCAACCTCCCTCCCTTCCTCCCTCTCTTTCTCCTTCCCTTCCTCCCAACTCTTTCTACTCTCTTCCTTCTCTCAGCTCAGCCAACACATGAAGCTGAAGCTGCAGTTCACAGCCTCCGTCTCCAACCCGCCCCCTGACGCGCGGCCTCTCTCCCGCAAGAACAGCCCATCGAGCCCCGCTGTGCGGGATCTGCTGGACCGTCACCAAGCCAGCCTGGGCCGTTCCCAGTCCTTCTCCCACCTGCAGCCTTCCCGATCCCATCTCATGAGGTGAGGACCCCTACGGTAACCACAGTGCGCTTACGCCATCTGGCAACCAAACCCACAAAACCTCACGCTAATGAGATCCAGCATGAACCCTTCAACTACACTCAAATCCCCAGACATCTTGGTTCAAAGTCTGATTTGATCTGTCGTAATAATCACACGCTCATTTGCACTCTGGTGCCCTCTATTTGTCTGTGTGATACTGCAGAACAGGCAGTGTTATGGAGCGTCGAGCTATCACGCCTCCCGTGGGCTCACCTATCGGCCGGCCGTTGTACCAGCCCCAGGAGAAGGCCATCCTATCTCTGGACAAGATTGCCAAACGTGAGTGCAAAGTCCTGGTTCTGGAGCCAGTCAGCTAAAGGGATCGAGAGGCACAGCAACGGAACGAACGGCCGACGGGGAATGACCACGAACGGAAGGCGACTCCATCATGAACACGCAGTGACTATCCCTAAATGCTGAGAGATGATAATCCACTGGAGTCCACTGTAATGTTTCAGATGCAGCCTGACGGCCTGCTCTGATGGAAACGGCTTCAGACTGACAGCTTCACAAACTGGCAGCAGAGGATAAAAAGAGCAGGCGAAACGTTTCTGACAGGCAGGCGTTCGTTAAAGACCTGTGTCAGACTGTGCATAGGATCTCTGTGTTTTAAACTAGAAGGGTTAGTGGGCATGAAACATGAACAGTGTTAACATACTGCACTCCAACATCCAATATGCGCCATGTACAAATTTTAAGAGGAGTTTTAAGCTGGCACAAATGGGTATGATAACGTTATAGTATTATGTCATCATCATAATAATAATAATAGTCATAGTCATGGTCGTAGCAACAATAGTTCGAAGTGTTAGTAATAGAAATTCATTGGTAATTGCAGCGACATTCATATAGTCCTGGCATTTTGCTTGTAGCAGTCGTGAGTCATAAGGGACAGGATGCCCTGTACGCTGGAGGTTATGCACGCTGGGCTTTGCGTGTGCATGTGTTAAAGAACTGACATTTTCTACGTTTGCATCTGTGAACCCTGATTTCTGTTTTTTTATTCCATTATTTGCTGCAGTTTTGTATGTTAGTGTTTCGGGTCCAGGATTTCATTTCAGGTTCTGTGTTTGCTCTTAAGCGAGCTGCTGGATGTTGGAGATGCCACACCCTTCACCGGGGCCTCTCCCTCTCCTCTTCCTGCCCTCCCTGGTAGCGTCCTGTATGCATTATGTTTGGTCTTATCTCTTCATTCCAATCCCGCACTGTCTGGTCGTGCCTGGTCTTCACCTCGCAATCGCTCTGCCTTCCTCACATTCCTCTCACTCCAGGCACTTCTGGCAGGGTGTAGCAGCTGTGCAATGTTCCTTTAGACTTTCGGTAGGCATTCATTCGTCTGTCTGAAATCGCTCACTGACACATATTTTGCCATCATACATCCTCCATACTTGAGCTTATCGTAGTTTGGTATTAATTCACCGTAACGAAATGTTTACATGCATTGGGGCACAAGGGTGGCCAGGCTGCACAGTTGTGCAACCAAATGCGAGTGAGTATTATTTTGTACTATATTAACTTGTACTGTTTAGCCCATGGGAGTTTTGCTTAAACAAATATGTTCTGAGGGCAGAAAGAAAAATGATAATTAGTTAGATAACCAATCAGATTGTTGACTAGGTGGGTCCAAGCAACTAGAGGAGGTGGGACCAACCAATCAGATGTCTTGGTTACCCCTCCTACAATCTGATTGGTTATCTCTTTGAACCAATCATTTTTTTGTCCTGTCCTTAGAACATTTTTGTCTAAGTAAAACTCCACAGGCTACTGTTTATTGAGTCGTGACACTGGATTTAGTGTTTCATTTGGCGTGAAGGTTGGGAATGTAAGACTCAGCCCTGTAACTTGCCATGATAGCTAAGAAACAAGTGTGAGCTTCAAGAACTCTCCCCCATTCAGGACACACATTTTTTTTTCTATTTAAGGGGGCGCGTGTCTCCGTTTTGTTAGTCCGCAGGGGTTTCATGCATCACTTCCCCAAATGGCATGTTTGGGACCAAGGGCATGTTGTCATGTTGTGAGGAACCACATTGATGTACAAGGGATGCTTGATTTTTAAATTGTATTTTATTTTTTCCATCGTTTTTATTTTTGTAATGAACAAATGCATTTGTTCTCGTTCATTTTAAGCACTTTATGTAAGTTATTTTAAACTCTGTTGTATTGTTTCAGACTGAATGGGTTTTTCCCCTTTTGCTTGTTGACATAATTTTAATTTTTATAAGGAAACCAGAATCTTACCATGTTCAATATGTTTACCGGCTGAGGGTTGGTCGTTTCACTCTAGCAATTAATAAAATGCAGTAAAATTGGCAAGTGTGTCTGTGTGTTCTTTAAAGAAAGAAAATGAAAATCATTCACATTAGAAATTTGGAATGCATTTGTAAATTTCACAGTGCAATAGTTTTATTTAATTGCTTTCAGCCCAGATTACAGAGGTTTTAAATAAATAAAATGGCAAACATGAAGTCAAATTGGCATAATACAATTACAGTACTGATGAAAAGAATATATACGAACTAGGTGTTTGTTTGGCTTTCAGGTACCGGAATATTCTAACCACCCTTAACACCCCTAAACAGAAGTAAATATAGAATGGTTATTTTTTTCCTGTGAAATGCTCAATCCATTCTTCAAAACTTTGTTACAGTAACCTTCCTTGTGGTCTCAGAGTCCATATCTACATCAAAAGAATCTGGAAAATAAAAACAGCAAATGAATATGAATGCCACTTTCCAATTGTGTAATACATATGTAGATTAATAGTCACGTATCCAATAATATAGTTATATGACTTAAGTAATAAATCTGAATCGACTCAGCGGATGTTATAGCTTGAATGGCTGGTGTTGCTGTTTCTGGTTGGGCACCTACCTCGTGTTCTGTCCATTAGAAGTTCTTTGTTTTCATACTTCTGCCTGTTATGCCAAAAAGACAGTTACGATTTTACTTGCTGTAATAATTTAAAATGAGAGATGCAGAGTGGAGGGCAGAAAATCAGAGCCTGTGACTCAGAAAGTGGTCTGTCATCGTGTCTGTGAAGCTCTGATGTTCCCCTCAGTGATCTCTTGCTGTCATCTATCATGCTGTTTGTCTGCTGAGGACACTTCCTTACCTTTTCCTGCTGCTCTTGTACACGCAACAGCATATCAAGGCGATGATTATCACCCCGAGAGGAACCAGAACTCCAATCAGAATCACTGTCAGCTTATCTACAGTAAGAAAGCAAGACCAGTACATTAATGGTTATATCGTCATGTTAAATGCTATCTTTGTGGACTGATTTAAAATACAAGTAGTCCCCAGGATATAAACAAGATCTGTCTGTCTTTAAGTTAAATTTGACAATAAGTTAGAAAAATAATAATACAGTGCATAATAACGATAATAGTACAATAATAATAAATCTAGCTACATATGGTGCTGTACTGCACCTCAAACAGACGAACCGCTGAAGCCACGCAATGTTTTCACGAGCGTCACAAAGTAGGCTAATGCGTCTGTTCATTATTATGGACCATTGTATTTAACCTGAAGTTTAGTATTATAGGCTTTATGGCGAGTATGGTGGTAAGGGTTAAGGGTTAGGGTCAGGGTTAGGTAAGTATAAGTGTAGTGTGGATATTGTTATCCTGGGCACTGCCTGTATGAATTGAGAAAAATAATATGCATGCAGCAGTTTTCGAATGAAAGCTGAAGAACGGTCAGGTGGGTGTAAGTGACTTTTTAGCACAAAGCCCCTACAGGACGATGGTGCTGGGTGAGAGTTTGACTAGTGCCCCCCCCCACCTGTCTGCATTGAAATACTCACCGAGGCCGTCGCTCTCCACCTTCTCTATCTCACAGTGCGAGCCCTCAAAGCCCTCGGGACACTGGCAGGTGAAGGTGTCCTCATCGTCTTTGCACTTGCCTCCATTCAGACAGGGGTAGCTGAAGCACGGGCTCGCTGTCGGACCACACAGGCTCAGTCAGTCTCCACCATCAACCCAGCTAACAGGAAACTTTATGCGAAGCTCTTCTCAAAGTTGGCAGAGAATCTTTTTACCATAACGTTAACGCAACGTTATTGCCACGTTTTATGTTCTGTCAATGTCAGCATAATAACATTTTTAGCGGACCATCTTTTTACCACAATTAATGTATAAAAACATTGTTTTCTAATAAAATATAATTTTACAAAAAGTACCATATGTGTATACTACCTATGCACCGTGCAGCCGTGGACACATGGCCTTGGAGATGCAGAGCGACACTGTTACCCGCTGCTCTACGCGTTTGTTTTTATACTCTTATTCTTAACTAGTAGTAATTAAGTAGTGTGAAAATATTCCGGGAACATCAGGAAAACTAGACACATTGAACATTTCCATACCTTAATCGTAACTTTCGATAAGTGTGTGCAGAATAAAAAATTGTTAGTGGCAAATTCCATCACGTGTTCAGCACTTTTTATGCAACTTATGCAACTTTACTATTATAAATGATCATTTGTTGAAGTGCTTGATGTTCTTATTTCCTTATCCTAATTTTCACTGCAGACTGCAGATGTCATCTCCTATAATTGCTCGTCCCATGATGAGTCACGATGAGGCATGATGAGGCATGATGAGGCATGATGGGCCTGGTATCCCACGTAACACAGAGCAGGACACTGGGGGACGCCCTGAACGGGAAGCCAGTCCATCACACGCACACACACAACTCCCTTTTCACCCTCTATCCATATTGCACACTCCTACCTACCTTGCATATTTGCACCCACTAAAACACTAAATAATGTGATACGTTTATATTTTCATTTTTATTATATTCTGTATATTTTAGAATATAATTTCCTTAATTTTATATAGCAGAGTCAGTGGACCTGTCAGAATAAGCATTTCACTGTATGTTGTACAGCAGGGTTCCCGAGATCCGGCCCTGGAGGGTCAGTCTGCAACACAGTTTGCAGATTTCCCTGCTCTAACACACTTAATAACCTGGTAATTAGCTGATTAAGGTGTGTCTGAGCAGGGAAATCTGCAAACTGTGTTGCAGACTGGCCGTCCAGGACCGGAATTGGGGAACCCTGCTGTACAAGTATGACTGCATATGAGAAATAAAGATCTTTGACTCTGACAGCATGTTTTAGAACTTGGACAGAAACAGGAGTACCCAGAGGAAACCTACGCAATGCAGGAGGAACATGCAAAATTCAAAAATCGAATGGGGGGGCAAGATTCAAGCCCCCAGTCCTGGAGATGAGCGACCACGACGCCTCGCACTCTGCTACCCGTGATGGCTGACAGCCAGGACGAAAGCAGCGGGATGACATGTTCCTGGTGTCATGTCGGAGATCTAAGCTCTTCATGTCAGGCTATCATCTGTAAATCGTGACTGCAGAGCTTGCCTTGACTTTAAAGTGTTCAAGGGAACCAGAAACTCTTTCTCTGAGGCAGAGGCTGGTTCCGCGACACGTCTGGGCCTGGTGGCCGGTCACACTCACGCTTGTAGCAGTCGCGTACGAAGTCGTAGATGGTGCAGACGTAATGCTCAGGGCAGCTCTTTGGCTGGCACACCGCCCCGGTCGGCGTGCACTGGCAGCTCTGGGAGCAGTCCTCCGTCACAAACCTCTCATTCAGCTGGAGGAGGGCGAGGACAGGAAGGTCAGCGCACGTGCTGGAAAACATGCCGATCGGCTCGGGATCTGCACACTGGGACTGACCAGGAAGTATCTTCCCAGGTATCTGCAGCCGCACTGGGTGTAGGGGACGCACTCGGTGCCGCTCATGGTGAAGCCGGAGGCGCATTGGCAGCCTTCCGTGAGGAAAGGCTCAGCGCACGCCGAGGGGGCAGAGAGGTCGCCGCAGGACGCTGGGCAGGCCGTCATGCCGCTGCTATATGTGCTGTTTCCTGGGCAAGACAGGGCTGGGAAAGCAAAGGCCAGCATTAAAAGACGGTAATGAGACTGGCACACAAAGAAGGGAGCAGTTATTGAGGTTATTAGGAATAAAACAGTGATAGATCGTCCTGCCAGTTAGCACAGAGCGCACATGTACTGTAAGTGCAGGGATCCCAGCCACCACAACGATAGCCTCTTCTCTGTGCTGGGGTCAGACAAAGCTGCCGTGGCCAGAGGGCCAGCACAGAAAGGCTGAGGAAGTCTCTGCGCACAAGCGAGGACACCAAGTGGTGAATGCTTCAAATGCCCCACAGATTTTCTCCCACTGGAAACCCAGCATGCCTTGCGAGCGCTGCTGTATATAGCCCTGTGTCTGTGTAATTGTAAATAGCCCTTGTATTGTTGTTGTTATGGTTATAGTTGCCTTCCCGATCGGGGCGTGTATGTTTATCCGGGTCTTGTGTGTATCCTTGTCCAATCCTCGCGTGTTCCTAGCTTGTTTAACTTTCCCACCGTGTGTGCACAAGTTCGGCGTCTGACCACCTTGTGTTTCGGTGACACGTTACTGGGTTCAGTGCTCCTTGAGTTCCTGTTATTAGTTTTGTTAAGGACTATAATTAAAAGGTGTGTTTTCCCCGGCAAGTAAGTTTTCTCATTCTTCGCTACGCTCGCGATGCCTCAGGTCGCCCATTGCTACAATATATTTATCTTTTATATATTATTCATGCAAAGGAAAAAAATGTATGCTAAAAATATTTAATTAGGCTATTAGAAACGTACATAACATGCTGCTCCACCTCGCTCGTACATTTTGTTTTAAGCATTTTTGAGGAACTTACAGTTCAATTTGAATATCTTCCAAGCGAGGATACGCAAGTGGTGAATGCTTCAAATGCCCCACAAATTTTCTCACACTGGGAACACATCGTTGTGATATCAGCCTCACATGTATCACAATCTGTAGCGAGTGCGCAAACCAGCCCAAGCTAGCGACCCCCAAATCATACGTTGCTTTTTTCATACTACTTCCGTTGTCTCGCACAATTGCATGCGATTTGTTTAGTGTGATTTTCCACTAAACGCTACTTCCACCTCTAAAAATTTTTACAAAGATTGAAAATCGCTGTGCTACTAGGTAAAACTGTAAAATACTTCCAGATCGTCACCCTCTTATCTGATGTTATTCCCCAGGTGTTACGGACATGACTGTGATTGCTTAAAAAAGTGAAACGCAAGCCCCTCCCTTGTTGACCCAGGGACATGTTGAGCTCAACAAAATCAGGATGCTCAGCAATATGGATCCTGAATAAGAACTGTGTTTAGAGAGGGCAACCTTCTCAGCTTACACAAGCACCTTTTACATATCCATCCATCCATTCATCCATCCATTTTCTGTAACCGGTTGTCCTATTCAAGGTCATGGGGCAGTTTATATATGTAAATATTTATTCCCAGTCTCTTTGCACACTGTCAACTGCACACTATGGATATCTGTGATTATTGTTTATTGTTTAATGTTCATTGTCTATTGTCCTATATCTTATCTTTTAATACTTATGTTCCCTTTATACTTATGTCCCTTGTTCACAGTCTGGAAGCCATGCATTTCACTGCACATTTTATTAAGAATAATTGTGCATGTGACAAATAAAACTTAAAAACTGAAGCACTCCAGTGTGATGCAGCTTAGCTCGGCATTAATGACGTGTGAATTCTTACCACAACCCAGCTGCTGTCTCCAGGGCCCGAGTTTGACGCCCTCCTCCTGACAGGCCTCGGCATATACCTTGTAGCTGTCACAGCGCAGTTGTGGGTCTTGCTGCTCGGCGCAGAGATCAAATATACAGTCCCTGGAAAACACGGATGCAGTTTTAGTGTGGAGGCCCTGAGGATGACCCAGCTGGTAGCCGCAGGATATACGCCCCCCCCCCGTCAGAATGCTAAAGCCGCACTTACTGTTGAAACTGGTCGGGTTCGAGGATGTCATGGCAGGCCACGAAGGGTCCATCGGGGTCCGAGAGCGCCCCGCACTGGTCAGTGCCATTCAGTGTGCTCAGCTGAGCCTCAGTGCACCCCAGTGTCTCGAACCCGTCGCCAGGTTCTGGCTCCACCTCCCGCCTGTGAGATGAGTGTACAGGGCTTGTTCACAGGTCAGAGGCAGAGTGTGTGTCACCGGAAAGGCTGCACGCCGGCATGCGGGGCCTACCTGTGCAGGTGCGGCGCCTGGTCCGGGCTGGCCAAGGGAGCGGCAGGGCCCTGACGGTCACTGACTCTCCAGCTGTCCCCAAACTCGTTGATATTGCGGGTCTGAGTGCCGTCCGGCTTCGTGTACTCGTTGTTGGCCCGTCCGTCAAAATTCCCACACAGCCCCAGCACCGCACCCCTGTAGGTGCTGGGCAGGATGACCTCTGCGGAAGAAGGAGGCTTTACCAAAATGACCGATCTTTGTAATCTGTGGTTAGAGCATGGGGTGCCGATACAGGGACCGGATCCCTGCAAGGGCAAGATGGGTAATTGCTAGGGATGGCTATCATTGAGATTTTAATGGGAACACATCGTTGCGATAGCAGCCTCACATGTATCACAATCTGTAGCGAGTGCGCAAACCAGCCCAAGCTAGCGGCTACCAAATCATACATTGCTTTTTTCATACTACTTCCATTGTCTCGCACAATTGCATGCAATTTGTTTAGTGTGATTTTCCATTAAACACTACTTCCACCTCTAAAAACATTTTTTTTTCCCAAAGATTGCAAATCACTGTGCTACCTGATAAAATTGTAAAATACTTCCAGATCGTCACCATCTTATCTGATGTTATTCCCCAGGTGTTACGGACATGACTGTGATTGGTTAAAGAAGTGAAATGCAAGCCCCTCCCTTGTTGACCCATGGACATGTTGAACTCAACAAAATCAGGATGTTCGGCAATATGGATCCTTAAATGCCAAAAAAAAACTTCAAAATAGGAAAGAACTGCCATGTGATTGATTTTATAAATTCATTTAAATTAAATAGGAGCTATAATTTTATTGCTGAAACTAAATAAGTTTAGGACGTGGATTGGTCGCGTATGGCCAGTACCAGATCCATCTAAATAGGACTGGATCACTGCCGCACCTTAAATGCACCTTAATGGCACCAGTAAAGTATGACAGTGTTAACGCTGTATTTAGTCTGCTGTGTTGTGTGTCTCTCACTGTACTTTCTCCTTCTCACCTGCTTGGTAGTTGCCATCGAAGCGTACGTTGAGGCCAAAGTCAGTGGCGAGCTGCACACCGCGGGAGCTCAGGGTGACACTGAGGCCCTGCCTGGGCGTCAGGGGTGGGTGGATCATCTCTCCATTCACCTGCAAGATACAAGCCGTGTCTAGCTGGAGCTACTGTTGTGTAGGCCAATATTGCCATGCACAGCCATGAAACACTCAACAGAGATGCTATGGAGAACGTCAACGAATAACAATATGGAGCAAGTATTTAAAGGGGCAGTTTACCCCAAAACTGAAAAAAGATATGTTTTCTCCATATGCGTCTGATGGACTGAAAGTAAGCAAACTCCACACACCAATCGTATCACTCTACAGTAGATATAAGTACAAGCTCCCCTGTGCAGTGTTAAAATACAAGTTTTAATATCTGGATTAACTCTTCAGAAGTAGTGACAGTAGTGACAGTAGTGTACGTACCAGCACCTTCCTCTTCTGTAAGAAGCGCACGTTGACACCATACACATCCATGTACAGCTCATGCAAAAAGGTGATTCGCCTGTTGCTACCTCTTCGTGCATTCTTCCCCCGGATCACTAGGGGCTCCAGAGAGCTGGCCACATTGTGGGCCTGGGTTAAAACGTAGGTGTAGAGGCCTTGGTAATGATGATTGAACCCATCAAAGGTTCGGTAGTGTGGGTCGCCTGAAATACTGCACTTGCTGAACTCTGTATATGAGAATAACAAAGGAGACAGAGGCAGGATTCATATCATGCATGTACAGTGCAGTAGGGTGCGATTAAAGGAGCACTCTCTGTATTTTAATAAAGCTACTTCACATGGCAGGATACACTGCGTTTGAGGCATCGGTGTTTGGAAGGACTGCAGCAAAGTACTGGAGGACTTACTCTCCGGCCTGCAGGAGCGGATGCCGTCTTTATCCAGTGCGCAGATGGAGTGCTCGCTGCACTTAAACGGCATGCAGGCAAGAACTGCGCCCAGCGAGCAGTTGCATTTCTCATCGCAGTGCTCAGTTAGCCAGCTGTCGCCCACCTGAAACGGCCCCCGAACACTTTTACTGCAACACGTCATAAGACCGACATTTAAACAATTCACTCAGTGATAGCTTTAATTAACTAGCGCCCCCTGGGCCAGTGGCGCAGTGGATAAAGCATTTGACTAAGGATCAGTTGGCCCAGTTCTCTTTCTGTCCGTACAGCTGGTATTTAACACCCTCCCCCAGTTCACTTCCCCATCATTCTGCTCGCTGTGTGCTCGCTGTGTGCTCGCTGTGTGCTCACACCACACCACAAACCACTGCTCTGAAGCAGGCGCAGGCACCTGACAGACCAGCGTTGCTTGATTGACGAGCGACTGAACGACAGGCTGGTTTAAACGATTACAGATCAGTACCATTTCGTTCTAAGTCCACGAAGCTCACATTCATACAAAAAAATCAAACAAACAAACAACACACCTCACAGGTAGACTATGAGCTGTATTTCCTCTCTGTGGTAATGAAATATTTAACCAATGGAGACACACGGGGGGGGGGGGGGTACAAAAATACCTCTCTGTGGGTGGTAACTCAGCAGTGGTCTACAGATCCTGCATAGCTGCATTAAGTTATATAACAGCAGTGTGTTTGTATTATTCCAGTATTTCATTGATTGATTTTATTGAAGATCACTTTTATATACTCCTGAAAATTTGACAGCCTCCTTACTGATTGGTTGTGCTTACAATTGCTCTACTTACTGTATTGTTTTGTACATACTCTATTTATTCCAGTAGTTCTTGCACTGACTGCACTTATTTATATGTGTACAATATCAACATCACGTCCATGTTCTACATATCAACAAAATTGTATGTGACCATTGTCTTGCCTTAACTGTTTCTGTACCTACTGTATGTATGAGCCACTGACAACTGCAGACAAATTCCCTGTATGCGTGAACATACTTGGCTGAATAAAGCTGATTGTCCGGCATCTGTGGTAAAACTGAAATCTGCTTGATAGGTGGAGAGGCTGACAGAGTCCGTGCCTTAATGATAACCAACCACAAGAGTCTGGAGTCTCGTTAGTCTTCATGTCACAGATGTTTCAGCGACTCAAACTCAAACCGAGAACGAACACAGCTTCTGGCGGCCAGCCGGCACACTCACGTCGTGGTACTCGCTGTCGGAATCCACGCAGCCGCAGCTGGACAGCGGCACGCACCGACCGTCGCTCAGCACGTGGCCGGCATGGCACTGGCAGCCCTCCACACAGGCGCTGGGCTGCTGCAGGCAGCCGGAGGAGAACAGGTCGGCACAGGTGGGGGGACAGGGGGCGGCGCAGGGTGAGTAGTGGCTGTTGGGAGGGCATGGCAGAGCTGGGGAAAACAGGACATGGGGGAAAACAGGTCCGTCACTGCCTTTCATACAGTACAATAATGATTCTTTATTAACGCTTGAGGGCAAATTCTCTTTTTCGCCTGCTCCACAGAGGTGAGAGCAAGCTTGGGAGTCTTAGCATGCAACGCCTGTAGAGCTGGGGGTTAAGGACCTTGCTCAAGGGCCCACAGACATGTGACTGTTCTGCCAAGGTTTCTGATCACGAGCACAGAGGCTTAGCCTGCTGCGTCAGACACCGTCCCTCATCTTACCTTCCTGACAGGAAATGCAGCCACATACTGTATCTTATTGATAATACAACTTCGATGTTATCAGTTGTCACATTGGCCAAATACCATTGCTAATTATTATTATTATTACTATTATAATGTACTAAATCGTGCACACAATTTAGTTTAACATGTCCATGAAATACCAATCAAGCTCACAAAATCCCTAAAATGTGGACACAATTTATTTTCTTCTGCTCTCAATTTGCCTGTCTGTCTGTCTGTCTGTCTGTCTGTCTGTCTGTCTGTCTGTCTGTCTGTCTGTCTGTCTGTCTCTGTCTGTCTGTCTGTCTGTCTGTCTGTCTGTCTTTGCGCAATTCAAACTATGTGCGGAAGGCCTGAACACAGTCCCAAGACTTCAGCTTCAGGCTTTGCCAGCACGTTTTCTTTCTCAAAACCCAATTAATTCCACAGCTCAAAATACCATATTCAGACAACAGAAACAGTAAACCGTGCACATGTTTTAGAGATTTCAGGAGATTGGTGTAGTATTTTGTGGGCACATTAAACTCAATTTTGCACACCGTGCACAGGGCCACGTACTTCTGTCTTTCAAGATATTCTATTTGTGTACTGAGTACTCTACGTATTTGTTTGTACCATGTTTACACCACATGTAGTGTCCTTGTCTTTTTTACAGCATAGGAATGTTTGCCTGTGCTCTGTGTTCGCATTGCTGTTTGCACCAGAATGTCCTCGGGGATCAATAAAGCTTTATCTTAATCGAATGTTGACGTGGCCTGTCTCTGGCAACGGCTCCACACTTACGGCAGAAGGTGTCGTTCCTCCAGCTGATGGTGATGCCCAGACTCTGACAGGCCTGGGCGTAGGCCTCCACGTTGTCACACAGCGTCTCCTGCATGCCGTCATACTCGCACATGTCGTACACGCAGTTGTCCAGGAAGGGCTTCGGGGCCAGCAGGACATGGCAGGGCTCAAAGTGCTCGGACAGCAGCACGTCTGCGCACAGGGAGCGCAGTTGCAGCTCCTGCGCCTCAGTGCACTTTGGGTTCAGGTCCTCCCTGTCGTCTGGCTGGCAGCTAATAGATGGTCGAGGAACATGGTGAGCGTTTGCGAGATCATAGCAGGATACAGACTGATATTTGGAGACTAAAAAAGCCATCAGTCTGCAGGTTACAGATGTTGCATCCTATGCTGTTCCCCTCAGTGGAGCCCGCCGCTCACCCAGGGTCGCTGTCTCCCTCCGCTTTCCAGCTGTTACCCAGTTCAACCACATCCTTCGCTGGCTGGCCGCTGGGCATCAGGTCATCATCCATGGAGTCATCATTGTAGTTCCCACACATGCCACAGACCTGAGCAGGTACAGCAACGGACAGCATGGGATGCATGAGCATCAGAGACAGAAACAGGAAGAAACGAAACCTGGAGCCCAACCAGTGTAGGATTTTGATATTTGAGGATATAAAAATCTAATGATGATATATCGACCGATTTTTTTTCTTTCAGAAACACATAATGTAAGCAAAGACTTTTCTCAACATTTGTTATGTGTAGTTGTTCAAAAGTCCTCACACTAAGGTAACATTTCACAATTTTTTTTGTCATTATCAGTACTTCAAATAAAAATACAACAACATGTATAAAAGTTATGATAATAAATAAGAATGAAAATACAAAAAAATACAAAAAGATTGAAAAAGGTCTGATCCATAGTACTTTGAACAAAAGTACAACAAAATATATGAAAGTTTTGATAAATAAGAGTCAGATGTATAAAAACACAAACGTGTTGTGACCTCTGGTGGACAAACAATGCAATGACAACACATATAATGTGGTGGAAGCTACCGTGTTCCTGTGTCTCCGTTTCTTTTCATTTGTCATTGTACCGGCTGTACACCTACATCGATCATCGATCTGCAATTAGTTCATATCGGCCGACAATATCTGCTCACCAATTTATAGTTGGGGCTCTAATGAAAAGGAAGCACTGGGGGCAGAAGGAAAGTGACACTTTGGACTCTTAAAACCCCCCCCTGAAACAGCAGCAGGGGTTCGAGTCTGACAGCGTGAGTTACCTTATCAAAGTAATCCCCAGGTATGGTTATCTCCAGATGGTGCACGCCATCAAACTTCACCACGAGTCCGAAGTCCGTGTTGAGCACGCTGTAGACACCGCTGCTTGAAATCCTGGCCCCGCCTTGGGTGACGGCGAAGGGGGTGCGGATTCTACGTCCATCCACCTGCGCCGCACGAGACAACGGGACCCCATTGTACGGTAGGTGTCCATGGGTGCGGCTAAAGATATCGCTCCACCCTTTTTCCGTGTCCGCCCTCCGGTCTATCTCTGCCCACTATTGTCCCACTCTGGCTCTTACCAGCACCCTGTTGGCCTTGCTGAGCGTGATGTTGATGGCTGGCAGGCTGATGGTGACCGAGTTCACGTAGGAGGCTTCAGGCTGGCCCCGCTCCTCGTTCTTGGCAACGATGGTGAAGGGCGTCACCTGGCTGCTGTTGCATACCTTCACCAGTGTGTAAGTGCAGGTGCCCATGAAGGTGTGCATTACGCCGTCAAAGGTGTAGTAATGAGGGTCACCTGCCACATGGCACACACCCTGCCCTGTAAAAAGAAAACACACCAGGGTTACACTCCCCGCTGAGGGGCGTGCAAACCTTTTCTTAACCTTATGGGAGCAATGTTTCCTGAAAAGTGCACATCCCATGAGGTTAAATGTCCCTTTCTTAAAGAGTTCCTCTTATTTTACTCTTAAATGTCTTCTTGTTACCAACCTTGGTGTGGTTGACTTTCAGATGGGCACAAACAATGTTGCCTTTAAGGGAGAATTCAGATGAATTCTGGACAATCATCAGGAGACCAATGTGTGCTTGTGTGTGAGGGTGTGCAAGCAGCTTCATTCAGTTGTACTTGAGCAAAGAGGAGATTGACCACAGATGAAGTGTGGCACTTGTGCTGGGGCCTCCCCAGCTGTGAGGCGGAGTTCGGGGCAGGGGGGGTAGGGGGGGTTGGGCAGGGCAGGTGGCATCCCAACCTGTGGAGTGACAGCCAAGCTGGCCTTCCTGTACGCCGCACACCTGTGCCGGGCCACACTGCCACGGGTCGCAGGCGATGCTGTTGTGGCCTCTGCATATGCAGCGCTCCGAGCAGTCGGGCATGGGGAACCAGGCACCTCCCACCTGAGCACAGCCAATCAGGCGCGAGGACAAGGAAAATGACAGCGTAACGATAAAGGAAGTACTCACATCAAAAGGTCGCACAAAATACTCAGTACTGGTGCACAAAGAATAAACAAGGGTAAATGGGGATACAAGAATATGATCTCAAATCGGAGGTTGGCTTGGGCGGTATGATGGTATTCAGTGGTATACTCTGGTTTTTAGAAATCCCGAAGGTAATATTTTTAATGTCATAAAAAATACAGACACTCCTCTTTCCATGAAACTGATATGAAGATGCTGTATTGAGGTAATGCATTGTAGTGCACAGTGTTAGTGGTGATTGGAGCCTCGCAGGTGTGGCATGCATGAAACCTGTTGCGACTGCAGCCACAGATTGGGCACTGACACTGGTGTCAAACAACTGGTGGTATTTTTAGGTGTCCCCTCGCTCCCTAGAGCTCACCTTCCTCACTGATGAGCCCGTTTAGGCTCTCTCTCATTCAGGAGTTTACAGTAGCCTACATTTTCAAAATATCATCATATACTGTGTGCCGGGGTGAAATTATTAGGAGGTACGACGGTATGAAAAAACAGATATCGCCCCAATCCTAGTAGGAGGTGCAGAAGATGCAGGGACATATTCAGAAAATGGCCAAGCCACTGATTCGACGGGTGTGAAAGTCGTGTACGAGTGCTGGGCATTACCGGATGGTAGTTGTTGTCCTTGTCTGTGCAGCCACACTGGCTCAGGGGGACACACTTGTCCCCACTGAGCACCAGGCCAGTGTCACATTCACACCCCTCCACACATGGCTGATCACACGTGTTGGCAGAGTCAAGGACCTGGCAGGTAGGGGGGCAGGCTGTACCGCAGTGGGTGTAATGACTGCCCACGGGGCACTTGAGTGCTGAGGGTAAAGGAGCAAGTAAGCTGTTAGGTTTCAAAGAAAAGAATTTGCAATGATTTCAAGTGAGTCTCAGAGTTAAGTGACTTAGTATCCATAGACGGTATAAATTCAAAAGTTTCCATTGAATCTGTGTTTTAAAATTAAGTTTGCAAGACTAATCATGCATTTAAAGAATATTGCACATAAAAATCATTATATCACCACTTACATGGTAATTCAGCATATGTTGGTCATGTATGAACCACAGGCACATATATGGAAAATTTATTGGAACTTACGGCAAAATGTGTTGTTTCTCCAGGGGATGGGGACACCGGCCTGGGCACACAGGTCTGCATAGCTCTGGAGGGCTTGGCAAAGGGCCACAGTGTCCCCACCAGTACCGCACTGGTCGTAGACGCAGTTCTCATAATACACACCAGGGGGCACCACTGAGTGACAGGGCTTGAAAATGCCTAGAGGAAGGAAAATGTGTATTTATATTGAATAAAGTAGGCAGAGAGTTTCTGCTGAGTGCATTTTATATAAGTGATTTGGCATCACTACTCAAAATATAAACCATATTTATAATTATCTTCCTTAATTGATTATCCAGTACAGAGTTCTGCTGTTCACCTGGAACCCAACCCAAAAAAGAGAGGGGACGCTGTAGGGGAAACAATTTCTGTACAGTTTCTTGCTAATCTAGGTTTTTTTGCCTTGGTTTGTTCTTGACCTGTAGTTTATATAATGAACTAGTCAACTAGCATAACAATACAACAGTAGATGATCAAAGGTATCTTATAGACATGTATGCAGTGTTCATGGACAGAGCATGGCTGGGGAGTCAATAGCCATTCTAGACAAGAGTATGATCCAACTTTTGCTTTACCGTTGGGGTCTGTGATCATGCCACAGCTGGTGGGTTTCTTGGCTTCAGACTCCACCTTTTCATCACACTTGTCCACTCCCCCATCATGGGAACAGCTGATGAATAAAGAAAAGAGTAGCTGAGAGATAATAAATGGTGGTAGATACAGACATCAGTCCAGAGCTGTGTTCTACAATAATGTCTGAGCAAATATTAACATTTGTTTGCTAATTGTTGCAGGCTCCCCCGGTGCTGCTCCAATACTGGGCACAGATGCAGTCCCAGGCCTGAGGTCACTCACTCAGTGCGGTTGTCAGAGACCTGCCAGCTTTCTCCCAGCAGGTCTGTGTTTGGTTCCGGTTTGCCGTCCGGCTTCAGATTGTCATCGCTGGGCTGGTCATTATAATTCCCTGTGGGAATAACACAACACCATTAACTGCTGACCTTCACTGTACATCTCATTCATCCAGCCACAATGTAACAGATACAATGACAAATGAATCAGTTCTTTGTTAGATACTGATAACCAGTTTAAATATGTTATATTCTATATCTCACACTCTGCAGTGTGTCCCTCTGCTGTCACGTTTCAGATTGCCTGTTTTGTCCCTGCCCTCTTTGCACCTTGTAATAGTTCCCCCATAAGTCATGTTGTGCCCCACAAATGAAGAATGTAAAAATAGGTACAGTAAATGAATACTGAGATATGTGAACTTTAAGAAAACTGCAGCTCAGGTCAAACAAGGTCATACCACAAAGACCGCACAGGAGCCCCCAGTAGGAGGATGGCAGGGTGACATCAGCGTGGTGATTCCCATCATATCGCACCCGCAGCCCAAAATCTGTCTCCAACACCACGAATGTGCCACTGAGGTAGACTTTGACGCCCCCAGGCAAAGAAACAGGTGGTGTAACTCGAACACCATTCACCTGGAAGCAAGATTCACATAGAATGTGTTCAACTGATGCAGTCAGTACAGATGCATTCTCACAGTCACTTTTGAAATTATCTTTTGAGAAATTATTCTACCCATAATCCTCCCTAAATTCTCCTCACCAGTATCCTTCGTCCTTTGCCCAAAACAATCTCCAGCCCTTGAACTTTCACGACGACGGCACGAATGTAGGAAACGTGTTTGTTAGTGCCTCGGTGCTCATTCTGGGTGTCAACAGAGAAGTATGGCAGGCCAGATGTGGCATCGCAAGGTTGGGTTAAAGTGTAAGAACAAGAGCCTTGGAAATGGTGGACTTTCTTATCAAACGTGACGTAGTGAGGGTCACCGGAAACAGAGCAAATTCCATCATCTAAAGGAAATAAAATATTTCTGGTAAATCAATGCACCATATTAAAAGCATTCATAACAGCAATCAACCTGGTTCCTATGACTCTTACACCATAAATGGGGAGCACCCACGTCGAGAACATCTGATTACAACAACAGAGTATATATACTGTACCTAAAGGATGACAACCATATTCTCCATCTTGCAAATGACAGGACTCTGAAGGGCCACAGCTACTTTCGTGGCACTCAATCACTCCTTCTCCTCGACACAGACATCTCTGGGTACAACTCTCCACGTACCAGCTCTCGTTAGCCTAAAGGACAAACACATACAGCTTTTATCCTGCCATTTCATATGGTACAGAGATGGGACTTTGATCATTTGCTTTAGGAAGGAGGCTCACTGGGTGGTAAGCGCCCTGAGGGTCCACACAGCCGCAGTCTTTCAGAGGAACACAGCGATCGTTGCTGAGAACAAATCCGGGATTACACTGGCATCCCTCCACACAGCGTTCTACACAGCCCGGCCCTCCTACATTCGGCCCCACGCAGGTCTCCGGACAGGAGCTCACACACAGGGAGTAGTGGCTGTTGGGTGGGCATGGCAGAGCTGCAGCACAAGGAGATGTTTCAGTCAGCACACACTGTTTCAAATTTGGCAGAGAGGATCTTACTTGTATGTGTGAACCATTGTAACAGAACTTTTATTGTGCTATATACTGTACAGCTTTGGAAAAAATTAAGAGACCACAGCAAAATTTTCAGTTTAACTCATATTTCTCAATTTGTGGGTATGTGCCTATGTGAAATATACATTTTTTTGAAAACTCCAGCCTAGTTCTTCTGTGTTTCTCATTAATGAAGAGCTTCTTCCTTGCTTTATGGGTCTTCAGTCCTGCTTCTAGGAGCCTCTTATGTACTTGTCCTAGAAGTGCACCACTTAATGTTTAACATTATTTCTGAAGGTCACTTGAGGTCATCCACCGAGTTAGGATTAGTTAATGGTCATCTCTGGCATTAATGTCTTTTGCCTCACCTAATTCTTGTGTACTGCTGTCTTAGAACTTTGAGTCTGGAAGCAGCCTGCTGCTCAGCATAGCCTTCTGTCAGCAGAACCAGGATTAAACCAGGATTTTAAAATGCAGATTTTTAAAAATTATAGAGTGGTTTCTTAATTATTTTTACAGAGCTGTATATAGTGTATCCCAGGGGTGATTCTAGGATTTTACTCTTAGGGGAGCTCAACCTCCACTAGGGTTTCTGCTTTCAATCTGAAGAAATTTTGAAAAATTATTTTTCAAGAAGGCTGAAACAAAAAGTAGGATGGCTGAAGCCCGCATATATAGGGTCTTCGATAACATAGCCTACTGATTTTATTAGTTCGTGTTCAGACCTTAATTTGACTTCACCTACACTGGATATTTCCCAGAGCCAAACGTATTATTTCGCGCCTAAAACTCTGTAGCCGATTAGCTAAAAAGTTAACAGCTACTAATAATCGTGGAGTGCATGGGGAAGATGCCTGACGGAGTTTCTCCAACTCAAAATCAAGAAGCGCAATAGCGTCGTTATTTCATTGCCTTCCTGAACTTGTCTGCATTCAAGGATACGGTCTGTAATTTGAAGAAAAATATAGCGGTAAGTTTTTGTTTTATGTTGTAACTTTATCTCATCGTTTCAATATGGTTAATTAGGCTAGCTAGCAACGAATAGCATAGACCTAGCAAAATTGTCGGTCTGCGCAAAATATTTATCTACTAGGTTAGGTTAGAACCCGATTTTCGCCCCCATTAATCTCAGGCTTGTAACTTTGAATAGGTATGACGCACAGACATGAATCGCATATCTTTGCAATCCAGAGAATTTACTCGATCCGGTTGTACAAGTTGCAACGTTGTGTGCTCAAGTATTGCAGAGTAATCCTGTGCGTAATGAGGCATATAGTTTAAACATTTTCCACCAAAACGCACCCCTAATAATGAAATATCGATATTATTCACATTACAAGGAAAACAAAGCGCATATTCGCTTCAACGTACCATACCCTTATGGGGAAATATTTATTGTATAATTTACTTATTATAATAGGGTGACCAGACAATCCATGTCAGGGAGGACACTTTGAGCTACTTCGGGTTTTACAAACTACTTTCAAATTGAAAGGCTCCTGTGCTCGGCTAAATAGTTTAGCTCTTCTTGTGCTTTGACTGGTTTGTTTCCTTGACTGAAAGACTCATCCAGCTGTTTCACATTAGCATTAGTGACACATGCATGATTATAGGAGACTGACCAATCAGCACACAGCAAGAGCTGAGTGCTCAAGTGAAATCCAGGTCCGTTTAATTGAAATGGTAATTTACAATTCCTGTCCTAGCTCACAGTGTCCTCCCTGACATGGATTATCTGGTCACCCTATATTATAAGCCTATAAATAAATGAACAAAAAAACACTCAAACATGTTCTCGAGTTCTACTAGAAATAACAAAACACAACATTCTATTTATTAAGAAGACAATTTCTTGATATTCTCGTAATATTCATTCTCAAAAGTTTGTATATACAGCAGTACCTCGGTTCTCGAACTCACTAGAACTCGAATTTCTTGAAAGTCGAACAAACCAGTTTGACCTTGAACTCGATCTGAATATCAGAAGTCGAACCGTGAACGCTGACCTAATATAAATTGTATGGAAATGAGTCATACTACAATGCAATTCTTATTTGAATGTCTTCGAAGTTCTTCACAGACTGGACGATTAACCAAATAAAGCAGCGCAACATTACAGTAACTAACAATAAATAAACCACTAACTTACGTGTACTATTAGCGCATTTATGTCATTTATTTAAACTTTATTTTACCAGGTAAATTAACTGAAAACCAGTTCTCACTGCTTTACTGTACGTGATATTCGGGAGAAATAGCAGATTACGCATCGGAACTGCCTGGGATACAAACGTCATGCGTGTAACTAAACGCTTCAGCCAATAAGGGCAAAGGTGTGTCGTCACGGTGGCGGTTCCAGTTTGTGCAGCCGGGTGAGAGGTCGCAATGCAGCTAACCGTAATGTATTGCGTCAGGATCAGAATGCGTTGCTTTAAGCCAGCGCTGTAAGCAAGTCGAACGCACCCAATGACCGGACTGGGGAAACAAACTGAAACGCGGACTTAATACAGAGGACTAATGACAACAACCAGAAACAGCTGATCACATGGGGATCCCACACGAGCTTAACGAGGGGGCGTGGCACACGGAAGGAGCGGACGATCGGGGCAGGACAGGGGTAATATTGGGATAAGATCTTTATCGTTTTGGAAGCCATTAAGAAAAAAAAATGCTCGTCTTGTTTTATCCTGTTCATTTTGTGTTTAAATGCTAAAAAAAAAAAAAACATATTCAGGGGTAATTTTGGGGGGCCGGGAAACAATTAATTGGTTTTCCATTATTTCTTATGGGAAAAATTCAATCAGAACTCGAACTTTTTAGGATTCGATCCGGAGTCCGGAACGGATTAAGTTCGAGAACCGAGGTACCACTGTATATGTACGTAGGCTATGTTTGATGTCGAGCTCGGTCAAAACAAGAAATAGAAGGTGCGGATCGTGTAATTGGAACAGCAATGACGTGCTACAGCCTTGGTTTGTTATTTGAGGCTAAAATGCCAACTAAAAGTTTAATTTCCAAATGTAATTTTATCAGTCATAGCGTATATAGGCAGAAAAACGATAGCGATAAACATTCAGCATTAGACTCTAAAACCGTCCGTTATGTCTTTGTTTATCCAGCGGATCGTAAACTAATAGCAATGCTTTTCTATTTCAATTTCTTTCAGATGTTTTGAAGTTTTTTTATATATAAAATAGATATGTAATCATGCTGTCTATAGCTATCTATAACTTTAAAACGTTACTAAATGGATGCAAAATCAAAGATTTTGCAGCCGGGTGCATTCCCGCCATGTATTCCTTCACAATACTAAGCCCCAGAAAGGTCCCCAATGAAAGCCGCGCATTCCCACATCAGACGCTCTAACCTCAACATTTATAAGATTTGTAGTGCCTGCAAATTTTTATATTAGATGAGACTAAAAACGGAGACATTTCAATAGGTGCAAGTAGGTTTCCCTCATAAGAAGGGCGATATCAAGACTGTCAGCATTTACACATCAAATTATGACATTGGCCTATACCTGAGTAGTCATATCTGGGTAAACAACAGCATACATTATATATGTGGCTAACGCATATACATACAGTGTAATAATCCTAAAATCAAAGGGATAGAAAAACGCCAAAAAATTAAAATGGATAGGGTTCAAAGTGTTAAACTATGTTATTTGCGGTCGTTTTTCTTTTAAGTTCGCTTAAATTGGCGGTTGGTTAATGTGGGCGCTCGAGCGCCGCCCCCTTCAAATACCAAAAGAAGAAAGTATACTTAATCATGTTAAACATAATTTAATCCGATAATGGGAAAATTATTATGAAATAGTTGCGCCTGGTATTCTGTCAGGGGAGCAGCCTATGCCAGTCGATAAAAGAGACGATTTCTGCTTTAGTTAAATTGCGTTTTAAGTGTTTTCCTGGCTAGCTAAGCGATCCCGGATTTAGCAGTCATTTGTTTTCGAAACTTTTTTACAGTGAGAATGAAAGTGTCACGAAGAAAATACCAAATACGGAACAATTATATGACATTATCAATTTATCATTTTCCGATCCACCTGGAAACAGGCCGCACCCCTACTGTAGGTAGACAGATTACGTGCATCCGATGTGTGCGACAGGGAAGATGCGACCCCCCAACCACTAACATAAAACTCCGCCTATGCTCCAGCTCCTTAGCTAACTGACAGGCTCTTTCGGGGCATGGCAACTTAAAGTGGAACCGCAGAAATAAAAAAGAGAGAAATTTGGGTTATTTCCGTACAAAACAACGTTTCACAAGGCGTTCACAGGAAGAGGCGGGAAAAAAGAGGATAAGGGAGCTTGTACCAACCGACCCGATTTGCAGATTGGCAGCCGGTAAGTGATCGCGCCCGCGATTTCTCCACTGTAAAGAAGGATTTTTTTCTGACTGAACACAGCCTTGTCTGTAACAGCTTAAGCAAGGTTGTGATATTGGGTGGAGTGGGCACAACTTTAATGATTTTGAATACAAAGGTCTGTTTATTGGGGGGGGGGAATGAATCCAAATTAAATATTTGGGGGTACACATCTCCCAATTCCCTCTGCCTGCTAAACCAGAAGGTTGCTGGTTCAAAACCCATAACTAACAGTACTTGAAAGGATTTCTCAATGCTAATTCCACCCTTGTT